CGTGCAAATATTAGTCAAACAATTTCTGGCAATAGCTTTTCAGAAATACAGCAGATTTCACACATCTCAATTTTCATTATCATTTTTTTCAGCCCGCAGAAAGTAAAACAACCGTCAAGAGATCCACGTCGGGCGAATCTAAGCCCCCGCGATTGCTGGAGCTTATAGAGATGAGAGATGCAGTATCCAGCATGCTGCCTGTCGATGATACACCGTCTCTCACAAGGAATTTTGATGGAACCAGCGACGTCGGCGATGGTCTTCAGGCGGGGGGTAGCCAAGTTCCCCGACTTTTCAAGCGCGTCTTCTGTAACGGTTTCACGGGCTGTGGTGGGCGATTTCGTGGCCGTCGACGACAGTTGAACGAAGCCCTTGGCAAAAGGCGTCTCTCTCAGCAAAGAGTCGGGAAACGACCCTTCTGTAATACTCTGGGTTGTTATAATGGTGGGCGTAAACGCCACGAAGAAGAGGAGGTGGAATCTGGAAAAGTGGAAGAACAGCTAAAGGAACTCGTATCAACGTCATCAAGACTGCCCGTTTTGTCTCCCCGTGGGGGCTGGAACCTGGACGAGAAAGTGAAGAGACTCTTTTGCAACGGCTATGGTGGGTGCCAGAACGGCGGGAAGAGGTGGGGAAAAAGCGGGATGGGCACAAAACAGACTGGTGCGTCGAGTCGGAACCTGGCACTCCCCTTATCGGACGAGTCATTAAAGAAATTGTCCACAATGAAGCGCTTTTTCGCCGGTGGTTACGACAATGATATGGAAGGTCTGATCGACAGCTTAAAAAGGTAAGATCTCATTCCTGTCGTTAATGAAATGCCTAGAGAATTTTTTTGGCATTTCTGGTTACGGTGGACATTTATGTTAAGGTTGGGTATTGGAACCGTAATATAGGGTTTTAAAGACAAAGATTACTGTTATGTTAGGGTAGGAGGTTTTGGTAGAGGTTAAGGTTGGACTTTTGTATGGGGCTATGTGGTAGGCCCAACGAAAGTAGAATTTAGTTTCTCAGTGGATTAGTTATGGTTCAGGGAATAATACGACTTTTTCCCCAACGTCAATCTTTTAGCCTCCTCATCTCTTGCTGTCATTACGTTTTGTTCCTGTTCAACTTTGCTTTGAAAATACTGTGGGCAAATAAAACAGATTTCAACAAAGTGGAAAGCAAGACGTTAATATGACGAGGCGAACGAGGAAGAGCAGGAGAAAGAGGAAGGG